ATTTGGACTGCAGTAAAAGATTTTCTCTCTAGAAATTTGATATAGTTTAATTTCCACTTAGCTATTAATTCTAAACATGAACCATACTCTTTTATTATTTAGCTTCTGGAAATGATGGAATCACTGTTTTTGGTGCTTGATATTAGTATTCTTCAGATGACTCAGTTTACCCTTGACTGCATTAGTTCTCAGTCCCAGGCAGGCTGTGCACGCATACCTGTGGTTTGGGGACTGACACAAGGTCTCCAAGCCTAGACCATTTATCAAACTGAAAGAACTCACTGCTGTATGTTTCAAACCAATGTGTTGCCCTTGATGTTAGCAAAATAACTTCAATTACCAGAACTGGCAAGGCAATACAGTCTGTCCTCCTGAGCATGCCCAGTGAATGTGTGCTCATCTGTTAAACTCCCTGGCTTTTCTACATGAGAAGAATATTCAAGGAAAAGAAAAATTGGCTATTCTGTGTTATGCCCAAGCCACTTGGGGTCATTTGCTGCAGATCTAGGACTACTAGGGAAGGTTTACTCAAGTGCCTACTATTCTGAACCAAATGTGGTCTTATTCCATTTTCTGTTACACATAACACAATAACATGTCTGGGTCAGTTTTAAAGAAAAGCTTATTCTGGCATACAGTTGTGCAGGTCCCCAGTTGGAGTTGTGCGCCTGGTGATGGCTTTCTTGCTGGCAGAGCCCTGAGGTACCATAAGGCTTCTTATGACAAGAAACTTGGAGCACATCTGTGTATGTGTGTCCTCATCTTTCCTCATCTAATAAACTGATCAGTGCTCCATCATAGGGACTCAACTCCAAGAACTTTAATTTACTCCTAGTCACCTCTGTAAGTGTCCAGGTCTAAACCCTATAGTTGCATTGTTTCCAGCCTCTTAAAACTTCATAATGGGGATTAAAATCTAAAGTGAGTTTCAGAGGGGACGGACCATATTCAAACCATAACAGGTACTATAACACTTCCTACACAAATTTACATCATTCCAAGCAAAATTAAAATGTGAAAAGCCGGCATTTGGAACTTGGAACACAGAAGTTCTCTTTTGAGATCACACCTTCATCACTTCCCACTCTCCCCACCCCTATGAATACTGAGCCATTTGCCTGCACTCCAACCACACATGGCCATTGCCACTCTCCTAGCCTAGCAGTCCCCAACTATCTTGACTGTTGTTCTCAGCCTGAGTCCTAGGGTTGGACATTTCAATTTGACCCCTTGGATTTTAGTCTGCTCTCACTGTGAACCATGTGTCAATTCACAGGCTTGGGTCAGCCAACCATCTACTGATCTGAGCACCCAGTGTGAAAGTGCATTGACTGTACCCACTGGAATCGTTGGATGCCTTTGGGCAGCCCTTTCCTTCATCTCCTTTGGATTCCTCACTGTATTTACAGAAGAGCCACTCAACAGAACTGTAATGTGAGCACATGTAAATATTTAAATTTTCTAGTAGCCACATTTAAAAATAAAAGAAAATGGGCAATATTGATTCTGATAGTATATTTATTTACTCCAATATATGCCAAATATTAAACTTACAACAGATAATAAATACAAAAGTTGTTAGTGAAATATTTTTACATTCTTCCTCTTAAAAACTAAGATAGATCTTATTGTAGCTCACATGTGCATTCTTCCTTCTCACTTGGGATCAGCCACACTCAAGTGCTCAGTAGCCATGTGTGGCTTGTCACAACTGTACTGCACAACACAGGCCTCAAGCTTTCCTACTGTCTGTCATCCAGCCAAGGGAGACGCCAAGTTGATTTTCAAGCCACTTTATGTCACCTTTGTCTGACTTCACATCTATAGCTCTATCTATTTCTTCTTCCAAAGTCTTGTTCATTTCTTCTTTCTTAAGAAGAAAGTGCTGACTAATACCTCTTTATCTCCTTTGAGTCCTTGCTTAAATTACCTGTCTTCTTCCAAAATCCTTACCCATCCGATAGGGCTTCCACCCCACCACTCCCAACACGGTTCCCTGTACAGGTCCGAATGACCATCCCTTGGAGTGTCTGCCACACACCATGTGGAGCTGGCTCACCCTTTTCTTCTTCCAGAGATACTGTGACCTGCACTACAGTGGCCACCCCATCCAACACGCTTTAGAGCTCCACTTCTCTTAGGCTGCGGCTTCTTCCTAAATTATATCCCTTAGCCTCCCCCTTCTAAAAGATTTCCTGCACACCCAAGGCTTCGACCATTTTTTTTCTACCTGAAATTCTCAAATATCAGTATTCCATTCTATCACATTTCCAGCTGTGTCTTGTGCATATATGATATCAAGGACTATTTTAACTCAGGGCTACTGTGACGACACAACCTTAAAAAAAATCATTAAACTTCTGAACGACTTAAAATTTAGCTTTGTGTGTCATTTTCGGACTTTTCTGTCATTCCCGTTTCACCGTGCCTAGGCTGTACCATGATGCCCTGCTGTCAGGTCTCATGTCAGAATCTGGAGTTCAGGGAAGGTCATGTCTTCCCAAAGATCCTCTTCTGCACCTGAAAATGGTTACATCTTGGTACTCTTCCAAAGGGGAAACCATCTGGTAGGATCATTTGACTTGGGTTGTTAAGGAAAAGCAAATCTTTCTGTGCAGTGGCCTATTCTAGCATCCTGACCTCACCAAGATGAAGACAATGAGGACACAGACTTTGAGGAGAGAAAAGTTATCCAAAGGAATGAATTTCTAATGCTCAGTCAGTGTGACTGGTGGCTGAGGCAGAAAGAGGCTTTAATGACAGTGCTTTCCTTTGTCCTCTGGAACCCACTTGTGGCCCTGGCCCTCTTAAAAAAGGAAATAAAAATCATTGTTTCATCCCCCAAATATGCCTGTGAACCTCTCCTTTCTCTATTTCCTATATCAAAGAAGTGTTTTTGGTAAAAGGGAGCCATGTTTTTTTTGATGAACAGATGGTTGCCTGCTGGATTCTTTGAGTTGATGTCATTGGTGGGCACAGTGGTGGTGGTGTGAGGGGAGTTGGAGGGGAAAGCCTCATGCTGCTGGGGGACCCTGAGCTTGTCTGAAAAGGGCCTCTTGCCTTGAGCCTCAGTTTGCACCCTGCAGCCTGAGGCAAGTCTGCCGGGAGGAGGGCTGAGCACTTTGCTCCACACCACTCCCAGGCCACCTCTTTAGCTTTGGATTGTCAGTAGGGTATGCTATTTTCCCAGTACAGGTTGAACATTTCTAAGCCATACAATCCGAAATGCCAGTATATACACCAAAGTGGCAAATTCCACACCATGAAATTCTGTAGTCCGAATTCTTTTGTTATCTAAAATTACCTGTACACTATGTGTATATGGTATGTCTGAAACATAAACAAGTTTGATGTTTACATTTCATGTTTACACTTGGGTCCATTTCCTATCATCATGTATAGGCGAATATTCCAAAATGTAAAAGAAATCCAAGCATTCGAACAAGAGATTCTCAAACCCGTTCTCATGTCTCAGCGGATTCTCACTGTGAGTGTTGACACCAATCCGCAGCTCTCTTCAACCTCCTCACCTCACTTTTCTTTTGAACAAGTGACCAGTGCCTAATTCTGCAAAGCAGATCTCCAGGTCCAGGGCACCAGACGCAGGCAGTTTCAACTACCACCAATTGCATCAGGTTATAAGATGGGCGATTTGTTTCTTATTTCCTCTTCCTGAGAACTGATGACATAGCATTCTATAACATTCTATTTGCCTAACTGAAGAATGTATTTATGAGATCAGAAAGACTCATATGCTTTTTCCATATCCTGGTGTTTGAAACAGTAGATATCTTTCCATTTTGCATCACATTTAAAACACTATGACTTTACTCATTTGAGCTCCTTTTTTTCATTTCTCGTTTGAAAGATGATAACTGAATGGTAGAGGTGATTTTTTTAAAGGCGTGTACAAGACATTTTAAATCACAGAAATGTCATTGAACAAATCACGTCATACAAATGTCTAGTTCACATGTCAACCAGGGCTGATGGTACAGTCCTGTATTCCCAGCTGTTCGGGAGGCTGAGGCAGGAAAGATGTCAAGTTTAAGGCCTGCCAGGGTTACAGAGTAATGTTCAAGGCAGGCTTGGGCAATTTACTAAGACCTTATCTCAAAATTTTAAAAAAATAAAGTAAAAATTGTACAAGTTAGCCGGGCGTGGTGGCGCACACCTGTAGTCCCAGCACTTGGGAGGCAGAGGCAGGTGGATCTCTGTGAGTTCAAGGCCAGCCTGGTCTACATAGTGAGTTCCAGAACAGCTGGGGCTACAGGGAGACCCTGCTTCAGAAAGACAAAAAAAAAAATTGTACAAGTTAAAATGTAGCTCAGTGGTTAAAATGTAGCTCAGTGGTTAAAATGAAGCTCAGTGGTGGAATGTTTCCCATGTGCAAGGCCCTGGGTTTGATCCCCAGCACTACAGTCAACTTCAAGGCTTGTTCACAGTCACTTGTCTCAGGGTCCCCTGGGTTTCAGGGGCAGGCTATTTCTTGTCCAGATGGATATGGTAGTGTCCAGGGTCACACTGGCCTTCCCAGTCACCATCTCCTCCCACACTCACACTCGCTTTTCTTCTTGCTGCCCTTCTCAGTGGCAGGGACCTTTACACAGCTAATGTATGCATCTACAGGCCACTGTTGGAACCAGACATCACCAGGAGGGTCCATATAGTCTGTTCTATCCAGAGGGAAGAGGCCTTCCACAGAGTCCATTTCAGTCACATACTCCAGCCACTGTGTAGATAGTGTAGCCCACAAACACACACCCATAGTGATACATTTACTGGAGCCACATCTGTGAATCTGTGAGCTATATACCCAGCATTTGATATTATTCCAAGTCAAAATGGAGTTTCAGTAAGTGTCCCTGATGTCGCCATCTGTCTATTGGCTGGCCTTTAGAAATCCAAATGCCAGGTGAGAGTCTGCAACCCCAGCAGCCTCAGCTCAGCTGGGCCCTGCCAGAGCTGAGTGGTGTGTGTGTCCGTGTTCCCTCCCACAGCTATTGACCTGCTGTACTGGCGGGACATCAAGCAGACAGGGATTGTGTTTGGGAGTTTCCTGCTGCTGCTCTTCTCCCTGACCCAGTTCAGCGTGGTGAGCGTCGTTGCCTACCTGGCCCTGGCCGCCCTCTCAGCCACCATCAGCTTCCGCATCTACAAGTCCGTTTTACAAGCTGTGCAGAAAACCGATGAAGGCCACCCTTTCAAGTGAGTGCCCCAGCCTGGCTGGCCCTCGCCCTGCCTCCCTCAGCTCTTCCCCTGCCTCAGTGCCAGCTCACAGGTGCATTGAAACATGCTTCCCTGAGATGCCTTGGACCTCCCAAACTTTTTCTGAACCCCTGTCTTTACTACCTAAGGTTGCTGGAGGGTTTCTGTAACAAACTCGGTCATCTTTATCCTAACACTATTGCCATATTGAGTTACTAGTGGTAATCATAATCCACTATTGATATGTACTGTTTTATCATTTAAAGAGTATCCCAACAAATGCTTAATCCAGCCACCTCTATGAGGAAGGCAGGGCAGGCATTATAATCCCTATTTACAGATGGGGGTACTTAGGGTCTTAAGATGTGACATGCCCAAGGTCATGTGGCCAGTAAATACTGCAGAGCCAGGATTAGGGTGTTTGGATTTTTATTCAGAGGGCCAGCTTTCTGAGTGGGACAAGGTTCATGAGCAATCTTATCACATTCCTTCCTACGCAGGGAAATTGGGTTAGAATGAAAATTGAAAAGGGGGAAAGTTTTTTTTTTTTTTTTAAGTGAATTTATAAACTGTACAGATAGATACAGTGTGGCAGACACATAGAGCACTGTCCACCTCACCATCAGCACCCAACCAACTCCACCATAGTTTATCTCCCAACTTTAGATGGTGAGCATGGATGCCCGCAGCACTACCTACATCACCATCGCCACACATAGACACATACACCACATGTACATCCCTGCCGGTGGCCCTAGGCTCCACTGCAGATGTCTTTACTTTTTGAGTGCCAGTGCTGAGACATGAATGAGACTGTAGACAATGGTACAACTGGCTCTGGCCAGTCCCAGTATTTCACCAGTGCCGCCTGTGCATGCACCTTGCCTCTGCCTCACTTGCCATCTGAATCAAGACTTCAGTGGCAACAGAACTTCAGCAAGGAAGGTGATACCTGTTTATGGGCTTTCTGGACCAAAAGGTGGAGGCTGCTTATCAGACCTTCCTTCCTAGCCTCTGGGTCCTGACCAGTATCTAGCACAGTGACCATGTGGGCATGCAGGTAATCCATGTCTTTGTGATGCTGTTAATGGGCCATCTGGGCTGTAGCTTGGTTACACATGTTCCCATCCCCACAGATGGAAGAGTGGAGAGGAGTCGAGTCTTCTTCATTTCTGCCGGGATATATATAACCCAGACCTGAGTAGGCCTGAAGTGTGACCAGAGTCCTCATCTTGTCCTCCTCTGCCTGGCCTCTGCCCCTTAGCCATCCAGGGTTCTGCCATGCCCTACCTCACTGTTTCTAGCACTACCACAATCTTATCTCCCAAGGCTGAAATTTGGGAGACTTCACTCCCCTTTGGCCTATTTCTTCTGTACCCAGTTATAGGAACAACAACATCATTACACTTAACTACTTTATGGTCCTTTAGGAGACAAATTTAAAGTTTAAAAATCTCCTTCAGGAGAGTCATTTTCACCAGCAAAGGGAATATCTGAGTCAGTATATATTTTTATATATTATTTTTTATTTTATGTGTATGCACGTATTGCCTGCATGTAGGTAAGTGTACCCATGTAGTGCAATGCCCATGGAGGTCAGAAGAGGCTGTCTGATCCCCTGGGACTGAAGTTACAGGAAGTTGTTAGCTGCCATGTGAGTGCTGGGATTCTAACCTGGGTCCTCTGCAAGAACAACCATTGTTCTTAACCGCTGAGCCATCTCTCCAGCCCCAGTCAGTATATTTTTAATCATAACAAACTATCTAGATAAATCAGTGTTTTTGTATTTTCTCCAGGGAGCCATCACATTTAAATATAAACTTCCTTAGTTCAGGCTGACATAACAAAGTACTATAAACTGGGTGAATTAAATGGAAAAAAAAAAGTATTTCTCACAGTTGTGGGTGCCAGAGGACTGGAATCAGAGTGCCTGATGGCTGGATTACAGACTGCCATTGTTTGGTGATGTCTTCAGAAGGCAGAAACAGGATGAAAGAGTTCTTTGGGGCCTCTTTTATAAGGGCACTAATCTCATTCATGAGGGCTCCACCCTCTTAATCTAATCACTTTCCGAAGTACCTGCCTGATAATACCATCAATATTAAGTGTGAAAATTTCAACATAGAGCTTTTGGAGGGATTCGATATTTAGTCCACAACACTTCCTTCAACTCAAAATGCTGTTTACTCTTAATCTCTGTCCATCTTATGCTTTTTAGAACTCTAGGAGTATCTGCTAGGCAGGCAGTGCAGAACTGTCTTAAAACAGAAGAGAGAAGGGAGGCTGGAGCTTAATGGAGTGTAGCTAAGCAAATACACACACACACACACGTATATACATATCTGTTATATCTATTCTACCATCCATACATTAAATCTAATTACCTTAACAAATGAAAAAAAAATCCTATTACTAAAACATCATTTACTGGGACCAATGAGCATTTTAATATGGTTCAGGCCACTGATGTTATCAGTGCTCTCTAGAGAAACCTAGAACTCAATTCTAGAATTGAAACATGAATTCTTAAAATTCTGTCAGGGAACAGTGGCAGTTAGGACTTTCATATTGCTCAGCTTTTTAAAACAAACACTGGTAACCATGTAGTCATTCATAGAGAAATCAACAAAGGAGTTGACTAAGCACTTTTTTTCTCAGTCCCAGCTGGTTTCTCTGAGTAACCAGCTCATCCTGTAATGTTGTGTTTTGTGGACAGAATCACAAAGCCTCCAGCGAGTCATGCACCAGAAGTGACCTTGCATGGTGCCCCACAGCCAGCAGCCATAACACCTAGAGGTGACCCAGCCACACCTCCCAGTGTGAGGAGCACTTATCTGGCCCTGGGGTGCAGCCACTGTGTACAACCTCTGATGGCATTCTCTCGGGATGGTTTGTTGACAGGGCCTACCTGGAGCTGGAGATCACCCTGTCCCAGGAGCAGATTCAGAAATACACAGACTGCCTGCAACTGTACGTGAACAGCACGCTGAAGGAGCTCCGGAGGCTCTTCCTGGTCCAGGATCTGGTGGATTCCTTGAAAGTACGATTGCTTCAACCCCTTACTTTACAATCTTAAGTTGTTTTGCCTAAAGGAAGAATATTATAGGCAACCACATCACAGAGACTATGAAGCAAGCACTAATTCTATTCTAGAATCTGAAAGCCTCCCATTGCAAGGCACCATAGAGGTCAATCCAGGCCAGTCCCTTCATTTTATAGATGACAAAACTGTGTCTCAGCATTTACACCCTTATCCAAGGTTAGCCAGTCATCACTGGAAGGACCAGGATCAAATCTAGGTCACACAGTTCTGTATGTTTTGCAGTATGCTTGCAGGTCTATCCTTAAACCTAATCCTCAGCTTGTCTCCTAAAATTAACCTAGTTTGGGGGATGTGAAAAAAATGCTCTGGCCTGTGATAGTAGTAAGCTTTCCAGAAGTTCTGAAACTGGGAATATGAAGGACAGATGTGTGCCCAGCCCAGGGCATGACGAGGATCTGGGACCCCTGGGATTCATTCCTTATGACTTGTGGTTAAAATCCAGATCACTGAATCGGGACTCTGCCCATGGCATAGTGGGGAGGGGGCATTGAGGGAGGTGGTTGTGGGTGTCTTGCCCTTAATGAGTACTTTATGCTCACTCTAGCTGAGGTCTTGTGCCGAGGGCTGCCTAGTAATTGTTTAAGGCAGGGCAGAGGTCACATCAGATGACCCCAGTTGCTTGCTGTGTTTGTATCTGTATTGTAATTGTGAACTTGTAAACCAGAGCAGAGGTCAGAAAACCTTATTTGTAAAGGCCAAATAGTGTCTGGGACTTCAGGCCACATTATCACTACCCAGTTTTTCCATAATATCACAAAAACAGTAAAAGACAGTCCATCAATGAAAGTCCATGACTGTCTATAATAAAACTTTGTTGATGAACTTTGGAAATTGAATTTAACATCAACTTATATGCCATGAAATATTTTTAGTACTGAATTTGGTGATTTAAAAACGTAAAAACCTTTCTGGGCTCCTACAAAAACAGGTCAAGAGCCATAGCTGGCCAAACCTCCTGCCTAGACTGTTATTTTATTGAGTCCCTCAATCTTAAAACAAGATTCCAAGGGTTCCAAGAGACCTGGAAACAGTCCTCTTTTGGTGGGTGATTCCAGAATGAGCTTCATACACCTTTCTGCACTTTCATTTCCTATAGAAATCATTTGGCTGGAATCCATTTTCTGTTGCCTCTAATTCTAATCTTAAAAAAAAAAATCTAATTGGCCAAAAACTGAAATGCTAACTAGAAAAATTCAGATACTGACCTCGGAAAGTGAGTGATGTGAGAACCCCATCTGGGAGGGCTGGTGGTAGGCGCTCTGACCAGCCTTTCATTCTTTAGTTTGCAGTCCTGATGTGGCTCCTCACTTATGTCGGCGCGCTCTTCAATGGCCTGACCCTGCTGCTCATGGGTAAGGACAGGGCACAGTAAACTATACATTAATAATGAATGTTTAAGTTGAAGGGTGTTTTTGTTAAACCTCAATTCACTAGTTTGGCTTCTAATATGCATCTAGCTGCAGTGGCAGCTATGGGTGGATTCATTTTCATCTTGGAAGGGGTCAGCATGTGCTCACTCTAGGAATAATGAAATAAAATTGATAGAAGGTTCCACCTCCTTTTGTTTTCCTTACGAAGTACCCTGTCATCTTTTATCTAGAATGCTGGTTTCATCCAAAACTGTGTCTGTAAACTTGTTCCTGTTGAAAGCTCTCAGTGTACTAATATTACATTTGTTTTTCGTTCCAGCTGTGGTTTCGATGTTTACTCTACCTGTTGTGTATGTTAAGCACCAGGTGAGTTGTAGGTGGTGTCGGACATTCATGTGAAGTATTGACCTCACGGTTTGAATGTGCTCATGATTTCTTCCTCTTTGTAGGCACAGATTGATCAATATCTGGGACTTGTGAGGACTCACATAAATGCTGTTGTGGCAAAGTAAGTTGCATAATGCAATTCATAAAAAGGAGCCATTGGCTTAAGCAAGCATGTGAACACTTTAGATATAAAAGGATCGTGAAATATTAGGTTGAGTATTTTACTCATTTGAATCACAGGTTCATTCTCATCTCAATTAGATTACTTCAAAAATAATTACAATTTTCAAACCCTCAATTAAATAAAATCTTCAGTGGTTTAATTCAGTTATAGCAATCAATGAATTTTAACAGATTAGTGATATTAAGCTCTCCCCAGGGGCTAACCTGTGTTCAAGAATAAGAACGGAGGATAGGAAGGAAGCCCAGTTTAGAAAATTAAAAACGAATACTTAACATTGAAATAAAAGCATTTCAGTAGTAAACATCTTCAGTCTTTTAAAGAGTGAATACTAATTTTAAACTGGTAAAATTATTTTTAAAACTTTAAAATGCATGACCTACTTGTTACCTAAATGTTTTAATTATACCATTTCTAACTCCACAACTACGTCTCTGTTTAGCACTATTACTATTCGAAACCTGTGCCTGAACAGGCCCTCCTTTGTGGGATACCACTAATACATTAAGAGATAAAGATTTCAGGTTTACACGTCCACAGCTAAGATGGTCATTAACTTAGTGATTTCCCATTAGTGCTCTTAGGTTTGTTACCACCTACAGCGATATTTTTTGTGTTACTGTTAGTCAAGATTTTTTTAATCAAAAGTTGGGCTAATTCTTCAACTACAGATCCCTGTTACTAGAGGATCAGACTGTCAACATAAACTCCACTTAGTAATCAGATAATTAAGTGGCTGGACCTAAGCGATGGTAGATTTACAGGGAGGCATTTCAGTCGGGCAGAGGTAGGCCTCTACTTCACAGTTCCTCTGCCTTTAGCTCAGCTACCATTCTCCCCTGGTGTATATCATATTTTAACTTTCACTGTGCCCAGTGTATATTATTCTTAAAATCACATGGAACCCTATAGGGTTCCATGCTGAATTTAGATATGTTGCCTCTCAGGCCTGCCTCCTCCATGCCGCAAGCCCACAAGCCTCTACTTCTCAACACCTAAGCTCCTTCATGGCCTCTGTATTGGCTGCTTTCTCTGTCTGAAACCACCAGATCCTTGCCTGTTGGCTCCTGCCTGTGTTTTGAGCATCTGCTTCTCAGATCAGTGTTTCTAAAGTAGGCTCCACCCACTACCCACATGCCCCCTCACTTCCTATCACATTGCCGAGCTTTGTTTTATAACATTTGTTACCATCCAAACTTTCTCTCGCCTCCTTACTTATTTTTGTCTCCTCAACCCTGACGAGAATGAAAACTCCACAACAAGTACCTTGTCCCTTTGGTGAACACTGAATTCTAGAACGCTGAAGGGTGCCTAGCTCAGAGGAAGGTGCCAATTAAAGTCTACATGATGGACTCATAAGGCTTCAGATTAATAAGCAAAAAACTTCTAGAATAATCTCATCCTAAAATGATAACAACCATGCCGTGGTTGTATCACAGTTTTAGGAGCCTTGGCAATATCTATGCCCACATGTTAAAGATGATTTTCTAGAGGCTGGGGAGATAGTTCACTTAGTAAAGGACTTGCTACCCAAGCATCAGAACCCAAGTTCAGTCCCTAGAACCCACATAAAAATCCAGACATGGTGGCAAGTGCTTATAATCTCAGTTCTGGGGAGGCAGAGCAAAGCAGATCCCTGGGATTCACTGGCCAGTCAGCCCAGCCTAATCAGCAAACCTCAGGCCAGTGAGAGAGTCCGACATCAATTGAGAAATACCACAAGAAGTTGATGCCTGCACACATACATGACATGTGCATGAGTACCCACACACATATATGCACCTGCACACACACACACACACACACACACACACACACACACACACACACAAATGATTTTCTATGTTGAAGGAGGATCATTAGATGAATGAACAGTATAGTTACGGTATAGTCACTGCACCCTCTTTGTCCTTCAGATGTACCAAGATTAAGTGATCAGTGGTCACTTTCACTATATTACAGCTGCCATAATCCAGGAGAAAGTCAACTTGGTCATCTACTTCAAGTCTATACTAAAGAATCTAGCTTTCTTGTATCATTCATCATCAAAATTTCCCTTCCTGTTTATCACTTTATAGAAGAGTGTTTCTAGATGCCCACACGTAAAACTATAATGTTTTCTAGAATATCATGCTTGATCACTTAGATCGTTACAGCCACATAATGAATTCTTATAATAATTACCATGTAACTCTTTAATTTTTGCCTTTTTAGGATCCAGGCTAAAATCCCAGGTGCCAAAAGGCACACTGAGTAGATTGGTATCCCAGCGGGACCTGGACGTGAATGGGGGTGTCTGGAGTGGTAACTGCTCATTTCTTCTTGTTACTGAAAATCAATTGTTTTCCCCTCCTAGTACCATAATCTTAGAGCAAACTTTAGGACAGCTGTTTTCAGGCTGTTCTTATACTCTTAGGATATTTGAGTTACTTGTGTCAAGCACTAAAGTATAGAGAAAAGTGTATTAGATGTGGTTCTTAATTTTGTGTTGCTAAAAGCAAATGGTGCATGATGGTGAGAGCCCACATTCTCTTTCCTTCTTTGATGTTCTTTGCTCTGCAATGCTTCTGTAGCTTCTGCCGTCCCCATGGCTAGGCCTTTCCTGCTGAGTGCACTGACGCAATAGTGGAAATTGCTTATTATGTCCTTGGGTTGCTGGTTGGATTAATCTTTAATAACACTATATAGTAGGCTGATGTTTTAGCATTTTTCCAACACACACAACGTAAAAAATAAGTAAAAAACAAAACAAAACAAAAAAAAAACAGTTGCCCGTACCTATGGTAATCAGTTTTGTATAACTTAAAATAATTAAATTAAGAATAAACCCAAAATGACACACCCAGTACTTTTGCTGTATGGGATGGATGGGCTGACTTACATGTATGGTAACTAAAAAGTACCAGCATGTCAACTTTATTACAATTTGTATTACCTTCTCTGTAGTTCCTAGTGGACTTAATTATGGACTCTGGATATCTGCACTTATGTACTTGATACTGAATGCATAAATAAATGTTACTCAATGTAGAAAGTTCTCCCTGTCTTGTGATCTTATTGGAAAATGCAAAAGCCAGCAAAGACAGAAAGATGAAGCCCTTGCGACAAGCCAGCAAGGCTGCGGCCACGTGCTCACCTTGCTCCTCTCTCCGGGTCTTCAGGATCTAACCTTAGCCTGGGCTACAGTTGATTTGGGTTATTCATAGAAACCACTGTGGAAACACTGCTTGTGTTGTACTCTGGAGGCAGGGGAATTGATGGGATATTTTAAGTTTTTAAAAGCCTGAAAGTGATATAAATAAATCCTTACATAAACTCTTACCGCCATATACAGCACAACACTGGTGTAAAACCATCATAATGGCCATGAGGTCACTGTTTGCCAGTTACCCTTTGAACCCCTGATGCGTACAGGGCACGAAGAATAGGCCTGTGAGTCGAAGTTGACAGTTCCTGGCCCCACCATACTAAGTTTTCTAATGATCACATTCTGCTCCCTGTAAAGATCCAATTTCACTTTTCCCCCCATCAAGACAGGGATTCATATAACCCAGGTAAGCCTCATATTTATTATATAGCCAAGGATGACCTTGAACTCCTGATCCTCCTGTTTCTATCTACTAAGTACTGGGATGACAGGTGTGTGACACCATGCATGGTTTATGTAGTGCTGGGGATAGAACTCAGGGTTTCATGCATACTAAGCAAACACTCTGTTGAGCTTCATCCTCAGCACTCCCCCACAACTGTACACCTTATTTCTCAGTTAGTATCTGAAGCCAAAGATGAAAGGATAGAAATGACTGAAAGGAGTATCAATAAATCAGTGGATTCTGCTGAGGGAGGGAGAATCAGTTTCCTCCCGGGTTGAACTCTCTGATAGGTTATCCAGTCCCAGCTGGTGGATCGGACATGTACATGTATGCACAAGTACCACTAAAATGGACTTACTGAAGCGTGTGTGTGTGTGTGTGTGTGTGTGTGTGTGTGTGTGTGTGTAATAATCAAGGAAAAAGACAAGAGAGGGAATGGGAGGGGAGACATGGAAGGAGTTAGAGTGGGTAGAGGGAGGAATGGAACTGATATAAATACAGTAAGTACTCATGTATGATATTCTCAAAAAATAATTAAATTTTAAAAAGGAGTATCAGTGAGAGACAGCAAGAAGGGCAGCATGTAAAACTCTGCCCTCAAGCTTTATACTTGGCTACAATAAGTATTTATGAACCAAAGGGGCATCAAAATGACAAGGGCAGCTTGATGCCATGACAACAGCCAAGAAACTGCCATCCTGGTGTTGGGGTAGAAGGACAGAACCTCTGTGTAAACGCTAACTAGACCAAGGATGGCATGAAATCAGAGCTGCGATACAAGTTCCAGCAGCAGAGAAAGATGCTCAGGAGAGAAGAACAACATGGCTGTGTTCTGGGCATCACCTGAATGAAGGAAGAACACAACCTAAGGAACCAAGGTGAGGAGCTTGGCATGTGTGGAGAACGGTGAGTAGTGAGCCAAGCCAGGTGGTGGGTGCTTGTGGGAATGGTGGTGCCAGCTAGATTTTTTCACAGGAAGGACTGACTGTACCAAGGATTTGAAGGGTTAGTATTTACATCTCGGAATCTCTAAATACAATGAAGATGCAGGACACTGGAGATTAGAAAACTAGAGATCATCATGACACAATGCTAATACCAAACATGTACCAGACTGCGAGGCTTCTGCTAGGGTAGCCATGGTGACAGTGGAAAAGAAGCATTTACCTGCCCCCTGACTGACATGACTAGCACTCACTGTGGATAGAGTTGCAACTGAGAGGTGATGCAGAGGGCACTTTGACTAGAGCTGGTTGTTGACTCAGTGTGGAGTTTCAAGACCAAAGCTGCCCTCAAGAGTGACTACCTACCTAAATTTCAACTCACTTGCCTTACTTTAATCTTAGAACTTTCTAGGAGTAGTTAAGCAAGAGAATGCAACCTCATTTTCCAGGTAGATAGCGCAGAAAAACTGGCCTAAGGAGGAAAGATAACAAGCTTAGTTTGGTAGCTGTTTTTCTTAAGTCTAATAAATAGAGAAGATAGATGGCTCAGTGGTCATGAACTGGCTGCTCTTGAAAGGGAACTAGATTGGCTCCCAGCACCCCATATGATGGCTAACCATTTGTAACTCCACTTCCAGGGAATCTAATACCCTCTTCTGACTTCTACAGGCATTGCATGTACATGGTGCACTTACATACATGCAGGCAAAACACTCATACACATAAAATAA